AAATATAGATATTTAATGTATTATTAGAGGCTTTGCACCATTACATGATGACAGCCATGAGAATCTGGTCTAATCTGATTTACACAATAAAGCATTCAGTTTCCCAGGTGAAAAATACTCTATTGTTGTGCCTTCTGTCAAAGCTGCCATCATGTGATGTTACACAGCCTCTATAGATATATAGAAGAGCTAAAAAAAAAAAAAACAACTAGAAAGAGTATCCACAGTACTAAGAAATTTCCAGAATTACTAAAGTTCACAATAATTGCTATCAAATTCTTAAGATTCCAGGATTTCTATCTACAGCTGTATATCTTACCTAACATGGCCTGACTAATATCAAGACCAACCCAGTGATGACCTTCACTTGTTAACACCTCTCCACTTAGACCTGATCCACATCTACAAGAAAAAAGAAAAAAAGAAAAACATAGAAACTATATTTTCAAAGAACATACATCGATGATTACAATAGATAATATAATAAAGATAAAAAATACTAACAGAAATGAATCAATTACTATTATTTTAAAATGCTCAGTTCTAATGTGCGGCAATATGCTAATATACTATTAGAAAAGATTGCTCTCTTGTCTAAGAGTAAGGAATGAGTTCCAAGAATTGACTATGGTACAAGAAGAGTAATGATAATAAAATGGTACAGCACACTGTCACTCTCCAATCAATAATGGATGGACTTATATGGCATACGGTAATATACACRATGTCAATATGTGGACCAGATGCCATCTTCTTCAACCTTCATTTGGGATTCGAGCTCAAAGACTATCTGGTCAGAATGCTGAAGCACCATAAACATCACCATGGTAACAACATAATCATGGCTACAGAGCATGATTAACATTCTTATAATCTAGACAGCTAGTCTATGATATAAACATTGTATATTTACCCTAYGTCAAGTATATAGCATGGTTGATCTTCAAGTAAACATAAAAGCTCCAATGCTCTCTCAGTCAGTTTGACCTGAATGTCCATCATACGTGAACTAGATGAGAACAATTAAAACATTAATTTGTCTGGGCTACCTGTGGTGATGGAAAAACTGGTCAACACCACCTACCTACCCCCTCCCCCAAAAAACATTCTTAAGAATAAACTATAAATAGCCCATGGAATAGCCCATGAACTTCGGTCTAACATTCGTCAATGTKGAGAGTAGTCTCTTCAACAGCCCACGTGGGTCAAAACTGAGTTTAAATATCTCCTGAAGACGTCTTACTTCGAGGTGTATTTATGCGCTTCTTCTTCATTATAAAACTAGCAAGAGAAAAAAGGAAATTGTCAGTTCTACATCCTTACAAATTATGCTCTAGTAATTGATTTTAACGGGTTATTGTAGCCGTATTTACCACTTCTGGAGGAGCTTGGTGCTCTGGTCTTCTGCCCGACGCCATCTTGAAAACAACTTGAGCCTGAGGTAAATATATCCAGCGGTTAACTGGCAAATACCATGCGTAAACAAAGATGGCGGCTGAGGTCGTGTTGTGCAACGCGAAAAGATTTTTAACAAATGTTATTAGAAAAACAAATTACTCCAGCTTATCTGCTGCTAATTTCAAWACTATATGCTCCAACATTGAAAACAGAGTAATAATTTCTGAACATCAAAGGAGTAATTCGAAGAAATGCGAGTTTTTATGCAGCCGATTTTGTCTGCCGGGTTTGAAAATTACTAAGAGATTTCAACGAAATTTTTCCTCCAAACATTCAAGAAAGAACTTCTACAAAGTGCTCGGGGTTTCGACTAAGGCGACACAGGCTCAGATCAAGACAGCTTATTACAACTTGTCTTTAAAGCATCACCCTGATCGGCACAAGGGCAGCCCAGAGGCCCATGGGAATTTCCAAGAGATTTCAGAGGCTTACGGTGTCTTAGGAAGTTTAGATTCAAGAAAACAATATGACCGTAGTTTGATCGTAGAAGGATTATTAGCGCCTGAACAAGCACGACCGTTTCATGCTCCACCTAAACCTTCAGCGTCTGTTTATGATTTTGATGAATGGGCAAAGCAGCATTATTTTCAAGCRCTGTTAAGAAAACAGAGAGACAAGAAAGAAAGGAAAGATGACGAAATTGAAAGAAAAACACACAAGTTGAAAGAAGGATCTTTCAGACTGGTTTGTCTTGCTGTATTTTTAGCTGTGTTTGTGGCTGGCATGCATCTTCACAGACACTCGCATGACAAAAGCGAAAAAAGATACCGAAAACAATGATTGCTGCAAATTAAATTCTACAATATACATATCATGATATTTTTAGGGAAGCATGGGTGGCATAGAGATGGTGTAGCATCTCATCTAAATGATCCAGGTTTGAGTGCCGCTGGGCTCCGTGTCTTTTATTTTATTTTATTAAAAACAATGCACAAGGCAAACCAAGATTTTTTGAGACTATCCAGTGGATGACACTGGAAAAATGGACAAAATCTGCTTGGACATAATGTTTATGATTCAGATCACGTGTCATTCCCTAGAGTATCATTTCTTTGTTTTATGGTTATGCATTGGAAGATACATGAATATGCACGAAGAAGAATGTTATTCTTTGTTCGAGTTGTATCCATATTGGTGAGAATGACACATGGYCTGAAATGGGAAAACATTACCCCCAAGTAGTTAAGGTCCATTAGTGCATCAGATGTCAGGGAATGGGCCATATTTCACTATAACTTCACATCAAAACAATCTATTGTTTAAATGCAAAGGATCATGGTTGTCRGAGAGGGTCAAATCGCAAATTCACCAAAATTGTTCTAAAACCCGTATCAATCCATGAAGRGAAGTAGAATTTTTCAATTGCACATTACGTCATCGTGGCCATGTTGGTGCCATTTAACAAAAGATTTCTCATTAGCATCCATTGTTAACGGCACGGCAATGGCTGCCATGTTTTTGTCTTTTAACTCTCTTGGGAATGCTTGCAACCCATCAATAGCCAGCTAGTACCTCTCCAAATATTTTTTAGTACATATTAACACATATTATATCTGAAAACCAGGCCATTTTAGATTAAACTGTTTTGCTAGGAGGCAAATTTTGTTGAATTTTCTATTGGATTTGGTGATTCTATCCCCCACATAAACAAGCAGTGACGTCGTAGTGAAATAGGGCAATTATTTACTACCAATTCCAGAATCTTTTGCAAATTGTCAGTCCTTTTCAAATTCATATTTTTTCATGATAAGAGTGTGTAAGGGATAMTTTTATTGGTAGTAAATTACACTATGATGCAAAAGGACTATTGGGATGAGATGGCACCCCACATCCAAGGCAGGAATAATATTGARTGTGTCTGAGGAAAAAGATGGGCTGTTTGACAGCCTAGAAAATCCTGGTCTTTAATCTTTCAAACAAGGTTTGACTCCAGTTTTGAGTGAGAAATGAAAATCAATAAAATATCAAGTTTATTTGTACAATCCTTTAAAAAACATTTGTCGCAGACCTACTTCACAGGACTTCAACCAGTGCAGCAATCAAAAAATTTTTTTTTAATTTTCATTTTTTTTGAAACATTTCAGAGTACAATCACTAGTTATAAAGGATAAAATAAAAATCATCTAWGGATAAAAGCTGCTAATTCGGGGTAAAAAAGCGTATAAGTTCCGTACGATCCAGCCAACCGAAGTCCAATCCATTCCATCTACGCACG